GGCCCGCCTTCTGGAATCTGCCAGTCGAAGTTCTTTCACTAAGGGGGTGCGAAGCATGCCCTCTCTGTGTGATTATGATGGAGAAAGGCAGTCATTTTTCTGTAGCCAACTTTATATTGATTTTTTTTTAATGGGGGGGCAAAAAGTAAAGTATAAATATTTTGATTAAAGAATAATCTATCTCAAGGATAAATTTGAAAGTGATTAAAAAATGCAAATAAAAATCCCCACAACATGATGATGGAACTACAAAGGGGTGTTAGTAATGTCAGTCTAATACTTACTCTCCTCCTTCCAGGAACATGAGGAAGCAGACTATATCAGCTGGTTGAAAGATCAAAAGAAGCTAGAAGCAGAGAATGACCTTCAAGATCTGGCAAGTAATGGGCTGGGAACGATTGATGTGGATGACTCTGTACAAATGGATTGGAGTAGCTGGAAGCTAAGTTGGTTGAATTTTGGTTTAGCACATAACTGATTCTTGGTGATTTAAGAGACCCTATAAACCCAGGTTACATTTGTGCAACTGACTTGGCATTGTTCTCCCAAAATAATCTATGTACTGGTCTAGAACCTTCATTTGGGAGCACTAAGTAAGGAAGAGGGACAGATTTTGCTCTTTACCACTTGAGTGGTTTCTTTTATTGATCCACCCACCAGCTAATCTTAATTGCCAATTGCTGCAATAAAGTAATGGAAGGGGAAAGGCTCATCATGAAGGTGGCAGTATCACATTGTTGCAGCTTCCAAATAGTGTTAAAACCACAACTAGAAAGTCTCTTGTTAGTTTCCTCTGTGTCTCACTATAGTTTGTCCACCTCCTCCCAACACCTTTAGGATAAAATGGTCATAAAGAGAGTTCTCTGGATCATTCCTGAGCAAAGAGAAGTGGAGTGTCAGTCACCTTTGGGGTGAATTTAATGATGATCCTTGTTCACATCTCCATTCTTAGTAATATATTTTGGATTTCATCTATGTATCTTTAATTCTCTACACAGATACCTCTGAAAAAATACTGGAGTGATCCAAAACTGGATGAAGGGGAGCAGTTTCTGAGGGATTATATCTTAAACCAGCGTTATAAGGAAGGAGGCAGTGAAGAGGAGGAAGAGGAGGAGGAGTGTCAACAGGAAAGGTCAGTACTTACTGATTATTTTAGGATTTTGACCTCTTTCCTCCCCTTCCAAATTGGAGCAAAGAGTGAGCTAGTAGGAAAGGAATTCATTGATTTCTCACAGTCTACTAATGATGTATTGCATGGGTCTGTATTCAAATGTATGTATAAAGACTTTGGGGTTATCACTAGTAGCTAATTGAGGATGTAACTCAGTGTGCAGCAGCTGTGAAAAAGGCAATTCTGTGTTAGGGATCATTAGGAAAGGGGTTGAAAATAAACTTGACCACATTGTATTGTAATCCCCTTCAATACCTTTGTGGTACATCCAAATCTGGAATCTTGTGTATTCAAGTGGATGTGATAGCCACATTTGAAACAAGAAATGATAGAATTTGAAAAGTGCAGAAAAATACTACTAGAATGATTGGGGGATAGAACACCTTCTCTCTGAATGGATGGGACTGTTTTGTTTAGGAAAAAAGCAACTAAAGGAGGATTTGATTGAGATGTATAAGGTGGTCAGGGAGAAGCTTCTTCTCTTCAGACTCTAGGACCAGGGGTCATTCAATGAAGCGGATTGGAAGAAGATTTTTAAAAGATAAAAGAAAGTTCTTTACCTGGCACATAACCTGTGGAATTAATTCCCACAAAATGGGATTTCCACTGACTTGGATACTTTAAATGGGGATTGAATAAAATAATGGAGGATAGGTCTGTTACACTGAATGTTACCTGTGTGTGGAGGAAGCATGTCTCCAGCTACCAGTTGCAAGGGAACAGTGGTAGGGGAGAGTTATCTCTCCATCTTCAGTTCCAGAGCACCCCAGAAACACTGGTTGGCCGCTGTGAGAAACCAGTTGCAAGACTACCTTGGCCTGATACAGCAAGGCTATTCCTCTGTTCTTATGTAAACTTCTTGTTCCTGATTATTAGGGTAGCCTAATTCCTCCCTTATTGACTCAGTGTTTCAGTCCTCTTGCTTGTTTACTGTTTCTCTATTATCCCACTGGCATGTCCGGTGACAAAAGTGAATCTACGTTGGTAAGTTTGCATGCAATCTAAGTATTGTTTTAGGTATCTGGAATTACATAGAAATTGATGCCTGTTTTTGTCTCTGTCCCTGTTTGTTTTTCGACAGTTGACTAGGTTGACAACATAGTAACTTGTTCTATCATATTGTAGCAATCTCTGCAGTCCTCCTAGAAACACACCTTTGGCTCCTATTGGCTGCTTGAAAGAATGTTTGATTTCTGTGGCCAATCAGAGCAGGAGTTGTGAGAGATGGCCATTGCGTTATTGCTAGGGGCATGGTTACAACCAAGCTATTTAATTGGGGCAGCCTCTGAGACTGCCTAAATTTGCGAAGGGTCAGAACTTCTGGGACTAAATCAGGATATAGCATTGACACCATAAGATTGGTATATTCCATTCAGGTGCTATACTTTTGTAAAATGGTTTCCTTGACTTAAAACTTAATTCATTTGCCATATATTCCAAATCATTCTGTATCTACTGAAGTGTAGCAGTGCTTTATAAATAATTACACTACAATTTTGATATAACTCCAGTAGAGATGGAACATATTTTTGGAATAATGCCACTACTGAGAATTCCATGAAGCTCTGTGCAATGTGGTGGGATAGAATGAGGAATATTGAATTGCATCTTATCCACTTGTAGAAAATATGAATCTATTTTTGCTGTCTTTGCTTAAGTGTTACTTTTTGCTCCCAGGATCCCTTCCCACCTTCAAAAATTATGGAGGACCCCAAAAGAGAGAGTCTTGGGGGACCTCCGGGAGTCCTCGGACCACACTTTAAGAAATGCTGGCTTAAGTTATACTATTTCCCATATGTGTTGCCTCTCCACAGGCCACCTGGGGTCCAGCTGGCCATTTCAGACTCATCAGATGAAGGCGAACTCTTCTTAAAGAAGCAAGAGGATTTTGAGCGCAAGTACAACTTCCGCTTTGAGGAACCTGAAGCACAACATGTAAGTGTTGTAGATAGAGTGGTTAGAAGGTTGGGAACTCTTGTCAGTATTGTAGGATCATTTCAACATAGGAATTGAAATGGAAACTTGGACATCATCTCCAGTATGAGGAAACTGGAAATCTGAGTGTGAAGCCCATATGCTCAGTTCGAAAAAATACTGGGTTCAAGTAATGGCCCTTTCTCTTTTCACTCCCATTCCCCCACTAACAGGTAAATACATATCCCCGCATCATTGCAACATCTGTGCGGCGAAAGGATGAGCACCGCAAAGAGAAGCGCCAAGAAACACGGGAGCGCAAGAGAAAAGTGAGTGGCTTGGGATGTGGCCTAAATCTTGGCTCAGTTTGCCTCATTAGTCAATGGTTTATCTCATAATCAACATTCTCTTTCCCAGTTCATGGACTTATTTATTTGTTTAAAAGGAGAGGGAGCAGAAGCAACAGGAGCTAAAGCGCCTGAAGAACCTGAAGCGTCAGGAGATCCTGGAACGGCTGGAGAAGCTACATAAGATCACTGGTAGAGCAGGTAGCAGTTTCCAAGAAGGTGATCTGGAAGGAGACTTTGATCCCAACCTGCATGACCAGCTCATGGAGGTGAGTAGTTGTTCTTCCCCATTTACCTAGATTCTATAAGACAGAGACTGCTGCAGTGTAAAACAGTAATCTGATTCCTACTTTCCAAGGTCAAGAGTATTGTCTTGATCATGTGGAAGTGGGACTGTGGTAGAATAGCAGCTAGCTTGAAGGTCACCTAGGGAGTTCATGGGAATAGTGAAATGTGATGGTGGAACTGCTCAAAGTTCAATTTTTTTGTTCATTGCACAACATGACAAGTCCTTGCCTGCCTAAGTACTTGGTTACTGCAAGTCTGAGCTTGGCTGTGTGTCTGCTTAAATGACTGACCATTTCTGGGGAGCATGGCAGCTGATTCTATGACCTGGAAATGCCTGGCAAAAGTAACCTTCCCAAGAACCCAGGAAAACATTTTACTGTTAAAGGCATTGTCATTGTGACTGGGGAGCTTTAAAGCCTGCTGAAACCAAGGAGAAGTAGCTGGGAAAATGTTCCAGCATCTTCACAGGAAAACAAGGACAGTGTTCTTACTGCACTGATCAGAGCAGGCTATCAAATAATAGAACATCTGCTGTTTATAATTCAGAATGATAATAATATCCACGAATATCCAGCTTAATTTGCGAGGGGGTAGGGCTGCTATATGTGTACTCACCTACCATTGTGCTTGTTTGTTACTATCTTTCACTATCTGCATTTTTAAAACACCTGTCTTCAAATAACTGCCCAGGTAGTCCCTAGCCAACCTTAGTTGATCTAAAAAAAAGTTGAGTAGGGTTAGACATGGTTAATATGAGGATGGAAAATGACCAGGAAATACTGGAACTGTAGATGGGCTGGAAAGTTGCAAAAATATCCTTCTTCCATATTGTCATCAAGAAAATTATATGGACAAGTCCATAAAATCACTGGGACTCAAGCTTGATTTGAAGGAGACTCCTTTTTCCTTAAAAGAACTGAGTTTTTAAAATGTGTATTGCAAGATTAGCTGAACTAGAAGTATAATGTCTAAAATTTTATAATTCTCCCCTCCTCAATTTATAGACATATTTTCACAAAATCCAATGAACATCGGCAGGCTTCATACCATCAGAGGTGTCCACTATGCAAATCAAGGAACTTATAGCTGGAAATATTCCTCTGTTTGTTTGATGGGATGTGTCTGGACATTGTAGAGTTGTTCTTTGGCAAGAAAACTGGCCACTTTCAGGAAAGTGGTCCCTGTCTTTTAGAACTAGGATCATTTACATGCTATATTTTGGATAGAAGTTGGTGAGATTTATAGGTGGAATTATTTGTACCTGTAGGGATGATTCCTCCCATTAGGTACAGGGGGTTTCTTATTTGGTAATAGTTATTCAGCTATTTCATGTTCATTTAGGAAATATTTTGATTTGGGAATGGTCCTTGTATAGGAGGGTCTTTTTGTCTTTTTTTTAAACAGGGTAAAGGAAAATAAATGCAGCTTTTTTTGCAGACAAGCATCTGTTTCTCTGTGATGCAAGCATGGAATCGTGGAATTATGTGCAAAACGTGAGGGCTCCCAATTCTGTTCAAGTAGTTTTGCCTCATCCTTAGAATCAGTCTGAAGCACTTTAATTATTTTCTGGATTTAGCACATCCCTGATAAATTCTATGGCTTTGATATTAACTGCTTTGATTTCCCACTTCATTTTATTTTGGTTAACTGAATACAGAGGAAGCTTTTTTTCCATGCCTGACCGTTTTTGGGTCCAGTTTTTAATTGTCATTTGACACTGAAATAAATTGGCTACAATCTATTTTTTAGCATGTTAATGTTTTGATAAGATTTGGGGCTCCCAAATTATATTAAACAGCTCTAATTTCTGGCAAGCTGGTTGCATATGAGCTTTTGCTGCAAAAGTAAGCAGTCATTTTATGTAAATTGCACCATTGATTCAGTTACATATTACGTCTGTCTTGACAGAGGGGTTTCTTGCCTTGGCGATGTTAGGCAACCCTCCTGAGCACAATGAGGAGCCCTTTATGCACAATTCAGGAGTTATAAGCATTGCAGAGGGCAGGCACTGTACCTGCAAAAAAGCTTCAATCAGTTATGCTTTTTTGTTTAAAAAAACAAAATGGGAAGAAAAAGAAATGGCTTCAAGAATGTGAAAAGTTGATTTCCTCCAGGACATAAACCTTGAATGTTACATTTTTCTTACCTAGAATTTTTTTGGGGATGAGTACTATGGAGCTGGCGAGGAAGAGAAACCAGAGTTTGAAACTGAAGAAGGGATTGATGGTATGTTGGGACATCTTGGAGCAAGAGAAAGTTGGCATTCATGTGAAAAAGATATTTTTGGAATTGGTACTAAGAGTTTCTAACTTCAGCTCCATAGCCTTGAGGGCAAACTCCTGGAAAAAAAAATCAATTGATAATCCTTAAATGGGACTATTACAAAATTAGAGATATGCTAAACACTGTGCATGGAACAGCTGATTGGGTGCTCTGTGCCTGTTTCAAATGTTTTGGCTGGTATACAGAATGATACAGGACTGTTCAGGATAGAATTGGTTTGGGGGACAGGGAGAAGGAACTGTGAGAAAAAGCCATCTGGTTTCCTTGACAACAGCGTGCGTGGATATTGCTGGAAGCAAGCAGCAAGGGAGGGCTGGGAAGGTGCTGGGAAGATGGAGCAGGAGAGCCAATGTGCAGGACATCTGGAGGAGGAGAGGAGTGAGGCGGCAACATAAACTAGCCTTATCCCACATAAATCACTGGGGGAACTCTCTGGATTTTGTTTTGACCAATACTCAGAACAATGCAATGGATTGTTTCAGGTTAAAACCAAAATGTTTTCCATTGCATGTAACCCCTAAATAAAATATATGGTGTATTCTTATCTGATAGGAGTACTTTTATTCTAGTTTTATCTAGCCAGCTGTAGTCTGTGGTTGCAGATAAATCATAAACTTTTTAACAAATAGCCATGGCTGGTTCACTAAAGTAAAACAAGCCATAATATGGCCTAGTTTCATATAGGCCTAGTTTACACAACACATTAAGATAAACATCTGTTTGGTTTTGTCTTAGCTGGTGGGGTTAAATTGTGGTTGGTGGCTTAGCGTGCATTACTATTAGTATTAGTATTAGTATTATTTTATCCTGCCTTTTTTATATATAACTCAAGGTGACTAACATACCTAATACTCCTGTCTCCTACTTTCCCCACAACAACCACCCTGTGAGGTCAGTTGGGCTGAGAGAGAATGACTGGCTCAGAATCACCCAGCCACTTTCATGCCTAAGGGAGGACTAGAACTCCACAGTCTCCATGACTTAGGACATAGAAGAAGAAAAGTCGCTATTTGGAGCATGGAAAATAAAGCCTGAAAACCTTTTGGAGGAGGCGTAATCGGTGCAAACCCCTATTGTTTATTATCATAATGAATAGATTTAGAACATGGAAAAATTGAAACAAGGGAATGGAGTTACATTAAATGAAATATTGAAATTGGTGAAATCGTGAGGTGGCTCCCTTGCTGATCTAATCTTGTGTGTTTCATGCTTTTTTAAACTTTTTAATTTGACTGCTTTTGACATGTTTATTGTTTTTTATATTTTTTGCTGTGTGCCACCGAGTCATTTTTGTGAGATGGGCAGCCATATAAATTTAATGAAGACATACATACATACATACATACATACATACATACATACATACATACATACAATGACATTTAAAATGTAGTGTTTGTGATCCAGATTCTACACCAGTCTGTGATATGCACTGAGTGGAGGAGGAGGGAAGTCAGATGATCTCTGGAGAGTGCCAAGTGTGTCCTCATGGACTAAGTAAAGTTCAAGAAGCAGTAAGAGCTACAGAATCATTGCTTAAAAGACACTTTCTTACCCACCCCCCTTTACCTCAAATTCAGATGAATGGAACTGGGACAGGTGGACTGGAAGGGATGACAATATGTGGCAGCAGCAGGAGAATGACTACCAGCCACACTGTGAGGACCCTGACTTTGTGGTATGTTGGCCTCTTTTCTCAATAAGTGATTCTAGCGTACATTACTGTGTAGGGCACAAGAAAGGGAAACTGTTGTCTGCTGGCCCTCTTGCACCACAGCCAGGGTTGCCCAGGGCCAGCAGATTTGGAAGGGAAACATTAAACCCAAGGACAGCCACAGTCCCCAGCCAGTATCACCCATTGTACACTTGGAAGGGTTAAAAATACTTGACAAAAACAGAGGTATATAATTAAATAAGGGGCCAGAGGTGATTGAACCTATGGCTTTGGCTTGATTTTTCTTAGTCTTTCACAAAGAGTCTATAGGCTTTCCTGCCAAGGTCTTTTTGTGTAGTATTTGTTCTTCTGTGAGGGCTGCAAACCTCAGGATTCAAAAGAGAAAGAAAAAGCATAGATTCTTAAATGCAAAGTATAGCAGTCTAGCTTCTGTATGGTAAAAAGTTAAGGGGCTCAATTTGATGAGGGGCTCTGCTTCCAAATTTGGGTTTATGGCTTTGTGAACGAATCCATGTTCCTCATCCCTGCTACCTTCTACACACCACATCTTCAGATGGATGCAGATTATGACCCCTCCCAGCAACCGACCCATTCCAAAAAGAAAAAGAAGCTGGAGATCCCTCTTCTAGGCAAAAAGAAGCGCAAATCACATTTTGCAGAGGCCATCTCTCATGAAAAAAAGCCCTTTGACCCTGGTAAGAATTTGGAGAGAAAACTTTCCGAGTCCGCCAATGATAACAGCTTGTGAGGATTTATTTAATTAATTTAAAATCATATTACTCTTTTAATGATGGGTTTATTAACTGAGTATCTACCAGAGGGCAATGCCTGTATTGCAACCAAGTAGAATGCCATAGAAATATGGCTTTTGAGTTCCTTAGAAGTGTTCACTAAGCTGGGTAATACAAAAAGCAGAGGTGGGAGGAAGAAGCAGAATCGTCAAAATATTAAGAGTTGCTGAGGCCCTAAGATGTGCATTGTAGATACAGTCTGAAGAAGATGTGACTAGAAAAGAAGGATGGCAGGATCTGTAATAACTTGGAAGATGAACATACCTTGGCTTCCACTAATTTTCTCAAATTCTGCAGAAACAAAGACGTTTGAGCAGTACTTGGATGAGTTCTACCACCTGGACTACGAGGATCTGATAGGAGACCTTCCCTGTCGTTTCAAGTACCGCACAGTTGTCCCCTGCAGCTATGGACTCTCAACTGAAGAGGTAAACCTTTCCTATAGTAGAAAATAAGGCAGTTTTCTTCATAGTGTAGGAAAGGAGCAGAGTGGGTGCATTCTGGATTAACACTAAGGGAAACAAAAGAAAACAGTGGTCTTTCCCTTTTCAGATTTTGGCAGCTGATGATAAGGAGCTGAACCGCTGGTGTTCTCTACGGAAGACTTGCATGTACAGGTGAGGGATAGGAACAGAAAGTGGAAAGGTGCTGTTTATAACTTGGTTGTGAACAGGTGGCTGCAGTCTGGAACATGGCTTGGAGACTGAGACTTGGGTTTTTTGCCCAGCTCTGGGCATGGTGAAAGTTGGAACTTAAGCTGCAGCAGCATTTCTTGGCTTTTCCCCCAAAAAAGGACTGGTGGTTAATGGGCAAAAAAGCCTAGTAATCAGTAGGTGTTGGGGCAAGGCAGCAAGGGCATGGAACAGGACATGGTAAGACCAAAATTTGGCAAAGAAATATTTTCAGACCTTTATTTTGTCCTGAGCTCCTGGTAATGTCCCTTTGCTATCTAATAGCATGGAACAGAAATGAATATAGTAGGGTTTGGGTGTTCAATGTTCTTTAAAAACGAGATCTGTAGTGATAAGTTTTTTTTGTTTTTTTTTGAAGTGGGGAGAAAAATATGCAGTCCGTGAGATAGGTTAAGGACAAATTATAAGTCAGTTGTCCATTTCAAGTTAAAAGAGGACTATCTCTGGGTTTCTGCTTTTTAAAAACTAGATTTCAGAATGCCCCTTATTTTATGCCTTTTTCCTCTCCCATCTTACACCAATGGGGCTGGGATGGTTCAGAAGAAGATGGATTTGCATGTTTTCTGAACAGGTCAGAAAAAGAAGAGTTGCAGGACAAGGCAGTTTATCAGAAGAAAGGTGAAGATTCTTGGAAGAAGAAACAGATTTTCAAATCCCTTGAAGCAGGGTATGTGTTTTGGGATGTTTGGGCTTAGGCTGTATGTGTAGTCTGTATCCAACCTGAAAAGTAGTACTTTTCCTGCATAATTAACTACAGTAATCCAAAAGGCCCAGGTTTAGAAAGTAATTATCATGGGAGGCAATTGAAGAAAATTAGAACAATTAGACTTGCCCAGGGAGGGATATTCCTACATTTAAATGTGATGAAATAGCCACCATGCTTTCTAGCCTTTTCTGTAACCATCATGGGAGTCTTTATCTCTTAATTCATTATCCACTTTGTGTAGTTGCCATCTGCTTTCTCTTAGTATACCTGAAAATTTTGACTCTGAGGAGAAAAAACTCTTTTGTTTACTTTCCTTTTTTTAGAACCTTAGCTTTGACATCGAGCTGATGGTCTTGGTCTTAGATGTTTCACTTGTTCTGCCTGTGGGATCCTCATGATATGATTTTGCCATATGATCTTTTTGCAGGATGGAAGAAGAAAAAGATGGAAAGCAACCTCAGCCCAAGAAAAGAAGAAAGAGCAGGGAGACCAAGTGTTTTGAGCACTCTTCAGAAGAAACACAACTGGTTAGTCCTGGTTGTGAGGAGGAAGGACTTTTGCTTCCCAGGACCACAGAAGATTCTGTCACAGGAAAAGAATTTGAAGCTTCTGCCTCAAATGGCTCTTGTGCTGTCTCCCCCACAGTCCAGAGATCAAAAAAGAGAGGCAGAAAGGGGTTGGTACTGGGCACCAAGATTCGGATGAGGGGCTCAGAGTTCAGTCACCAACGCCTCCAAGCCTATGGTCTCAATCCCAAGCGCCTGCACTACCGCCAGCTGCTTCGTCAGAAGAGGCAGAAGAAGCAATAGGGGGGCCCAGCCAGATTTGTCAGGTCAGGGGACCAAACGGTCTCATCTATTTTGATTTCAGACTCAGCTACTCATCTGCCTCCTTTCCTTGGAGTGGAATCTACAGCTGGTTAAAAGCAGTACTTTCTAGGTGGGCTCTAAACTCTGCCCCTTTGATTCTTGTGAAATAATGAATGAATCAAGTTGATTGTCTTTTGTTTACTGCCTTTGTGTTTTGTACTAACTTAATAGCCTTACCTAATAAGCCTTCAAGTCTAAATCCATCGCAGTAGTTAATCCTGTTACTCCTTTTTATCTCTTCCATTTGCATAGTACAAGGGCTGCGGACCTATGCTTGCAAAGTACCTTACTTGTGACTGTGATTTAATATTAAAAAACATCGACTTGGGAGTGTTGCAAAATGAAAATTGACCTCCATTGACCACCATCTTTATTGCCCTAAATATCTTTGGGCTCTATGAGATAATATTTAGAGAGTAAAGATGGTAGCTAGCCATCAGAATCATCACAATGTAGTTTCATGTTCTGATTACATTGAATCATGTGTTGGAAGGGTCATGTAGGCTTTCACGTCCAACCCCCTGCTCAGTGCAGGAACTCAAATGAAAATATCCCAGATGGTTGTCCAGCCTCCTTTCGAAAAATACCCAGTGGAAGGGAGCCTACCACCTCTCTGTATAACTGGTTCCATTGTTTCAAACCTTACTAAAAAGGAAACAAAACTCTGTAGAATAAAGTGTGTTGTCTGAGTGACACAAGGATGCCCCAAGCCCAAAGAGGCTGTAGCCCTCATGTCAGCACATGTCCAGGCATTTATAGTTTTTGCTTCTCTAGCAGATTATTTAAATATATTCTGAGCACACAGGGAACTGGCAAAGCTGCCTGACTGCTACATCAGGAATGTAGCACATGTGTTGAATAATAACAAAATGGTCTGGTCTATGTAGACAATAGCACCAATTACTGGCTAAATCTAAATCACTCTTGATTTATGTCACTGAGATCGTGGGTGAAACAGGGAGAGGACAAGGACACAAGTCTGCCAACAAATTGTGAATTAAGCAAATAAGTGTATCTGGAGAGATTAAGAAAAGCATCACAGAGGAAGAGTTGCTGCTATGGAGAACTGCCTTCTACAGATTCCATGGTAACATGGCACAAAAATGCTTTCATACTTACTGTAGGAAATATTACAGTGGGAAGTGTAGAGAGAAGCAAAAGTAGTGAGTAACCAATTCCAAACCTTAATATCAAAAACATTGCATTTGATTCCACTGTGGATAGATATGATGGTACCATTTTACAGGTACAGTGGAGGCATAGCTAGCAGTCATCCCAGTGACCCAGAATTCAAACGTGTCGATACTTCTTTCTTGCTTCTTCAAAGTCTAACTTTCAATTCCATAGAGTATCACAGGGAATACCATGGCTTGGACAATTCTGGTCTTTGTAGGTATAGCTGCATTGCAGCATTTGAATAACTTTTTCAAGGCCTTCATAACTGCTCTACCAACTGCTAGTCTGCAGTGTATTTCTTAATTGCTTGTTCCTTTACTGCTGATGGTTGATCCTAAAAGGCAGAAGCTATCTGATCACTTCAGTATCCTCATTGTCAGTTCTAAGACTGGTTGTTGTACCTGTTGTTTTCTTTATATTTAATTTTAATCCCACTTTTTTCACTGTGTTCCTTGACTTTTATTACTAGGGCTTGCAGATCCTTTGCATTTTTGGTTACCAGAGCAAGTAGTGTCATCAGCATAGCACAGGTTATTGATGTTTCTTCCTCCAGTTTTAAAACCACATTCATGTTCTTGGACTCCAGCTTGATGTTCAGCATATAGGTGGAATAAATAAGGGGAGAATATACAGCCTTGTCTCACTCCTTTTCCAACTTGGAGCCAGTCTGTTTTGCCATATTGTCCATACCGTGGTTTCCTGACCTGTATATAGATTTCACATGAGGACAGTGAGATGTTCTGGGATTCCCATTTTTCTGAGCACATTCTACAGCTTGACATGATGAACGCAATCAAAGGCCTTTCTATAATCAATTAAGAACATATTTCTTTCTGGTTTTCTTTGGCTTTCTTAATTGTCATACATGCATCAACAATCTCATGTTACTCGGCCTTTTCTAAAGCCAGCTTGGATATCTAGCATCTCCGTTTCCATGTAGGGCTCTAATCTGCATTGGATGATTCTAAGCATTATTTTGCTAATATGTGAAATTAAGGATATTGTACTATGGTTTGCACACTCTGTTAAGTCTCCTTTTTTGGGGTACGAGAATGTAGATTGACCTCTTCCAATCTGTTGGCCACTGTGTCATTCTCCAGATTTGCTGGCAGAGCTTGGTTAGAACCTTTCCTGATTCTTCTTCTGTTGCTTGCCATATTTCTCTGGGTATTCTATCACTTTTTGCAACCTTCCAACTTGGTAAGGGCTGAAGTGGTGATCTGACTTCATCTTCTAGTACTAGAGCTTCTTTGGAATAGAAGAGTAACTTTCTATTGCACATACACGTCAGCCATCTTAAGAGGTGCATGATTAGAAAGAGCAGACGCTTTGCTCCTTGAATTGTTTACTGTAGTGGTGGGGTTAAGATGATGTACTGAGACTGGGGAGACCAGTTCTCTCATCTGTATAAGCAGAACTTTTCATATAGAAAATTGAACAGTAGCCAAATTCCTAATTCTCATTAGCAAAGTGCTACCTTTCAAACTTAGGCTCAATCTGCTATAAAATCAAGAACTAAATATGCCTTCCTCTCTGTTAATATAAAATTATTACTACAACCAATTTTAAATGATACATTTAAAGAATTCAAAGAACTTCCCATTTTTTCTAGAAATCTCAATAAAGCTGTAAAGAAAGCACTTAGATTTCCCACATTGCGGGAAAAATAATGGTTACGTTAAGGACAATGAATCAGTTAATGCCTGAAGTTTCATGGTCCTCCAGCTTAACAAATGTTTCCTAAACGTTAGTTTCATTTTGAGTGGAAGAATAATCTGAAATTATGACAGCTACCCTCTAACTAATTGCTCATTTTCCTAACTGAACTACATTTAGGTAGCTCATCTGTGCTGGTTTTCTTAAGTTATTTCTTAGATTGGAATCCCTACACTGAACCCCAAACTACCATCAGGATCCAGATAGTAAAACAGTGCTAGGGATCTATAAGTGATTGGTTCTAGCTGCAGCTTGTTAACTAGAATCTTAGAGTGAGAATGTTGATTAACAGCCTTTTTTCTTTCATAAGCAGTTTGGTTCAGAATATGCTTTTGTAGGCATTTCTGGAGGGTCTGGAACAGGAACTCATGTACAGTCAGGTCCAGAAATATTGGGACATCGACACAATTCTAACATCTTTGGCTCT